GTGCCATGATGCCCAGCTAATTTTTGTATTTTTAGTAGAGATGGGGTTTCACCATGTTGGCCAGGCTGGTCTCAAACTCCTGACCTCGAGTGATCCTCCCAGCTCGGCCTCCCAAAGTGCTGGGATTACAGGCGTGAGCCACTGCACTGAGCCAATACTTTTCTTTTCTTTTTTAAGTGTAATTTATGGCTGGCGCATGGCTCATGCCTGTAACTCCAACACTTTGGGAGGCTGAAGTGGGATGATCGCTTGAGTCCAGAAATTTTGAGACCAGCCTAGGCGACATGGTGAAACCCTGTCTCTTCAAAATACACACAAATTAGCTGGGTATGGTGGTACACACCTGTACTAACAACTACTTAGGAGGCTGAGGTGGAAGAATTGCTTGAGCCTGGGAGTTTCAGGCCGCAGTGAGCTGAGATTGCACCACTGCACTCCAGCCTGGGTAACAGAGCAAGTCCCTGTCTCAAAAAAAATTAATAAAGAAAAAATAAGGCTGGGTTCGGTGGCCCACGCCTGTGATCCCAACACTTTGGGAGGCCGAGACAGGTGGATCACAAGGTCAAGAACTCGAGACCATCCTGGCCAACATGGTGAAACCCCGTCTAACAAAAATTAGCTGGGCATGGTGGCGCGTGCCTGTAATCCCAGCTACTCGGGAGGCTGAGGCAGGAGAAACTTGAACCTGGGAGGCGGAGGTTACAGTGAGCCAAGATCACGCCACTGCATTCCAGTCTAGGCAACCGAGTGTGACTCCTTCACAAAAAAAAAAAAAAAAAAAGAAATAACATAAAACTGAAGTATTAAGGGAGTGATGCTACCTCAGTGGCCTGTGGCAAGTTAATAAAGCCAGGTGATAAAACAACTATCTTTGTTGTGATACTTGTTTTTGTGTGTTTGCTACTTTCAAGTTTTGGCATTTGACCCTTGCATTCATAATGAGTGGGTCCAACAGGTATTAATTTAAGTCAGCATCTCACTTTGCATTACAGAGGAAACGCTGAGGTTCAGAAAATTTATTTTTCCAAGGCTGTGGCAGAACCAAGATTCAAACTGTAACTCCCAACTGTGACTTAATCCTCAAACTTGTGGACTATCTTTGATCCTGATAATTCTTCTCAGAAATTGTTAAATACTGCTATCACTTGCCATAAATAATAATTGGATATAGAAATACATATGTAGGCTGGGTGCAGTGGCTCATGCCCAGCACTTCGGGAGGCCGAGGTGGGCAGATCACCTGAGGTCGGGAGTTCGAGACCAGCCTGACCAACGTGGAGAAACCCCGTCTCTACTAAAAGCACAAAATTAGCCGGGCGTGGTGGCACATGCCTGTAATTCTAGCCACTCAGGAGGCTGAGGCAGGAGAATTGCTTGAACCCGGGAGGTTGCAGTGAGCCGAGATCATGCCATTGCACTCCAGCCTGGGCAACAAAAGCAAAACTCCGTCTCAAAAAAAAAAGAAAAAAGAAAAATATATAAAAAAAATGCAATGAAAGCAAAAGACATGGCCTGGATAACACAGCAAGACCTCATCTGTACTAAAAATAGGCCAGGTGCTGTGGCTCATATCTGTAATCCTAGCACTTTGGGAGGCCAAGGCGGATGGATCACCTGAAGTTAAGAGTTCAAGACCAGTCTGGCCAACATGGTGAAACCCTGTGTCTATTAAAAATACAAAAAATTGGCATGGTGGCAGGCGCCTGTAATCCCAGCTACTCGGGAGTGAGCTGAGATCATGCCATTGCACTCCAGCCTGGGCAACAAGATCAAAACTCCATCTCAATAAATAAATAAATAATAATTTAAAAAGCCAGGTGAGACGGCACGTGCCTGTGGTCCCAGCTACTTATGATGCTGAGGTGAGAGGATCCCTTAAGCCCAGGAGTTTGAGGCTGCAATGAGCTTGGTCATGCCGCTGCACTTCATCCTGGGCCACAGAGTGAGACCCTGTCTCCCCTCTAGCCCCCAAAAAAGAAAGGAAACAAAAGACATTGAAATGATACTAAATGCTATCCCTACACCATTACATTCCAAAAATCTCTGGCCCCAAATCTGCCCTCTGTTAGACATTAGCCAACTTCAGGGAAGGGTTTTAAAATGTATTGTCATCAAAGACACTTGTTTCTCACTGATCAGAAGTATCGGAAACGGTCCACACCATCATTGCTTGAGTCAGTTATTAAATGCTACTTTCGACTTCTCGCCAGGGTGTGTTCCAGGAACATCATCTGAAGCTGCTGGGAGCTGTGAAGCTGAGGGCAGCGGTCAGCTCTGTTGGTAGGAATTGTGGAGCTTGGGCAGCCTGAAGGCTTTGTGTCTTGGCTTTGGTCCCAGGGTCAGCCTTTCCCAGAGGAGAGTCTTACTGTACTTCAGCTCATGCTCTGGTGTAAGGCAGAGGACAGGAGGGATAAGTGGGCTTTAAAGCCAGAGTTTGGAACTCAGCTTTTATACTTCCTTGCTTTGTGAGTGAAGTCACTTCTCCTTGCTTTGGAGCTCCTTGTCTCTTTTTTTTGTTTTGAGACAGAGTCTCGCTCTGTCGCCCAGGCTGGAGTACAGTGTCCGGATCTCAGCTCACTGCAAACTCCGCCTCCCAGGTTCACGCCGTTCTCCTGCCTCAGCCTCCCGAGTAGCTGGGACTACAGGCCCCCGCCACCTCACCCATCTAGTTTTTTGTATTTTTTAGTAGAGACTGGGTTTCACCGTGTTAGCCAGGATGGTCTCGATCTCCTGACCTCGTGA